CTTCCTTCCGAGGAGTGGCTGGTGGATTTGAACCGCCAGCCGTCTGGTTAGCAGGCAAGTGTCTTAGCCACTATGCTACCAGAGCTCCCTTGTAAGGTTAGAGGAGGTCAGAACATGGGGCCTCCTTGCCATTTTTGCACACTCCTTATAAAAAGGATGTCATTTCTCTAGAAGGGACCATTCTCTGGAGGATATCATGCTTGATAAAGCAGCGGGTCAGCAAAAAAGGGGAAGACCCTCAATGAGATGGACTGACACCCTGGCTGCAAGGATGGGCTCACGCACAGCAAAGACTGTGAGGACAGCACAGGACCGGGCAGTGTTTCGCTCTCTTGTACTCGGGGTCGCTATGAGTCAGAGTCGACTCGATGGCACCTAACAACATCATCTTAACTAAGTGATAATGAAGTCTAATTAACTCAAGTTTTACCAGGATATTTCTTTAAAGTTTCTGAGTAACTGTAACAAAGGCTGATGGATAATTTGATTCCAGTTTTTCTGTTGTGAATGACACTTTAAAGAATCCTTAAACATCTAACTCCCTCTATACACAGGAGCAAGTATTTCTCTGGGACAGTTCTTTCTACAAGCAGAACTGCTAAGTCAAAAGACACGATTCCACTTTAAGTTTGTTAAGACACTGACAGCAAATCGTTATACCAATTCACAAACCCACCAAGAGCAGATTGAGGTATATCATGCCTCTAGTAAAGTGATATTCTAATCTTGAAAAATTCTGTGGCCAACTACGTAGATAGAGAAGATTTACCACTGTTCTATTTTATATTCCCTTAATACTGAGACTGAAATACTTTTCCTGTTTATTGGCTTTTTGTATCTTTTACTGTGAATTTCCTTGCTATGTCCTTTGTCCATTTAAAAAAATGCTGAAGAGCACTTTACATATTATAAACCTGCACCGATTCAAGCCCGCGTCTGTTATGTGCACAATCACCCACACCCACATTCTCTCCAACAGCTGGTGTTGCCCGTCTTTTTCATTTTAGCCATTGTTGTTGCTGTTATGCGCCCTCGAGTCGCATCTGACTCATAATGACCCCTCCTTAGGTTTCTGAGGCAGTATCACTATGGGCAATCTACTTCTGTAGTGCTACTGCCTCGGAAACCCAAGGAGGGGTCGCTATGAGTAGGGACTGACTTGACAGCACGTAACAACAACAACCACCACTACAGAAGTAGATTGCCCAACGTTCCTTCCGAGGAGTGGCTGGTGGGTGTGAACCACCAGCCTTCTGGTTAGCTGTCAAGTGCTTTAGGCACTATGCCACCAGAACTCCTATTAGAGCCATCAGTGGGTATGAAATGGCATCTCTCATTGTGGTTTTACGTGCATTCCTCTAAAGACTAATTATGTTGAGAATTTTTTCATGTGCTTATTGACCATTCTCATACCTTCTGTAAAGTGTTTTTTGCCCATTTTTAAATATTAGGTTTTCTGTTTTCTGGATAGTAAGTACTTGGTTAGATATATGTATAGGTAATATTTCCCCTAGTCAATGCTTCCCTTTTCATTTTCTTGGTAGCATTTCTTAATGAGAAGTTTTTAATTTTAGTTTTGATGAAGTCCAATTCATTACTTTGTCCTTTATGTTCAGTGCTTTTAAATATCTAAGATAACTTTGTCTACTCCAAAATCAAAAAGATAGTCTCCAATGCTTTCTTTTGAAACTACCTAATTTGAATTTTTATTTATGATTCATCTTGCTTTAGTTTTTGTGTGTTCTCAGAGGGGTGTGATTCATTTGTTCCCCGCTACATTTACCTAGTTTCTGAAATAACCTCTCTTTTCATTGAATTGCCTTGGAGGCTCTGTGGAACAGAAACTGACCATCGTATGTGTGGGTTTGTATCTGGCCTCTCTTTTCAGTTCTTTGATCTGTTAATTTTACCTTTCACAACACTACACTGTTTGATTACTACGGCTTTAAAATATGTCATGAAATCAGAGTGCATAAATCTTCCAAGTTTGTGTCTCTTTTTTCAAGACTGTGTTGATTATTCTAGATCCTTTGCTTTTCTTTATAAATTTTAGAATCAGTTTGTCCATTCCTGTAATCATATCATTTGTGAACAAGGGCTGTTTTCTTCCCAATCTGCACGCCTTCTCTTTCTTTTTCTTACCTTATTGCACTAGCTAGGACTGCCAGTACATGTTGAACAGACCCAAGGAGAGCAAATATTCGTGTCTTAATCCTGATCTTGGGGAAAGCATTATATATAACATTAGCTTTAGGTTTTTGTAAATGCCACTTATTAATTAAAGGAAGTTCCCTTTGATTATACACTGGTATTATAAAGGGTATGTTGTAGGAACTGGTTGAGAAAACTTTTTCTATAAAAGGTTAGATAATATTTTAAGCTTTGTGGGCTAAGGTCTCTGCTGTATATTTATTCTTCTTTGTGTTTAACAATCTTTAAAAATGTAAAAACCTTCTT